CCATATTTTTGGCATTCTAGTACAACTAAATTAGAAGTATATTCTCCTCCCCTATCAGATCTTAACCTTTTAATTTTCTTGCCAGTTTGATTCTCTATTTCATTCTTAAAAATTAAGAATTTTTCAAGAGCTTCATCTTTACCCTTAAGTAGATACACATAGCAATATTTAGAATAATCATCAATAAAAGTGATAAAGTATTTCTTTTGGTCACGAGTAAGCACTCCATTAAACTCACAAATGTCGGTATGAATTAAATCAAGTAATTCTGAATTTCTATCAATTGAATGATAAGGTTTTCTTACTTGTTTAGTTGTAGCACATACCATACATTTCTTAGTTTTATCAATAGAGTGTTTAGGGATTAAATTTAAATTCATCATTCTTTTTACAGAATCTAAATTAACGTGACCCAAACGACAATGCCATAAACAAGAAGAATCACAATTCTCAGATATATAATTTAATTCCAAATAATCAACCACAATCTTAAAAAGTCCATCTGACAAGTAACCCTTGCCAATAAAAAGTCCACCAAATAAAATTACAACTTTATTTAATTTAAAAGACAATTCATAACCCTCCCTAACTAGAATGGAACCACTAACAATGTTCCTTCTAATTTCGGGAACGTGATGCACTCTATGCAAAGTAAGAATTTTTCCCGAAGGGAATTTTATTTCTACTTTTCCAACTCCATGCACACTAGCAGCACTCGTGTTTCCCATCATCACTGTTCTTCCAACCGCAGGCTGATAAGAAACAAAGAGCGATTTATCAGCACATACATGCACATTCGCTCCTGTATCTATTAGCCACTCATTGGAATTATAAATAGTGAAAACTTGAGGGTTAAAAGAAACATACCCATCAGAACTAGTTCCTCCAGTCACCATGTTGACTTGAGGTCCACCAGATTGAGCCTTAGCCTTTTTATTTGGGCACAATTTGGCCCAATGCCCCATCTGTCCACAGTTCCAGCATGGACGGTTTGCTTTTGGTTTCTTTGCAATTTTTAATTTGGCCTTTATTGGTTTAAAAGATGATGGTTGCTTATTTTTAGAGTTACGTGCTTGCTTCCCCCCAGTTATAACATGAGCCTTCGGTTGAAATTCAACAGGCGCAATATAACCCGCTTTCTTATGTTCCTCCTCAACAGTAATGGAATGCATCAAAGATTTCCAAGTGATCTTTTTCATTTTATGTTTTAAAGTCATACCAAAATCTTCCCATGATTTGGGAAATTTTTCTATGACCGCCATTACTTTAAATTTTTCAGGCAATTCCATGTCTGCTTCACGAAGAGAATGTAAGATAAGCTCAAATTCTTGTGTCTGTTCTAAAACTGATTTTCCCTCTTTCATATCAAATCGTAGGAATTTAGAAACAATATATTTTTCAAGACCGTGGTCATCAGTATTATATTTTCTATCCAACTCATCCCAAAGGTCCTTAGCCGTGCCGTGGAGGGTGCAATAGACATCAAATAACATGTTGGAGAGACCCAACAAAATCATGCCTTTTGCAATTTCATCCCTCTCACGCCATGAAGCTTGGCGTTCAAGACTTTTGGGATCCGATTCAACAACGGGGGGACACACCGTCATAATCACTGAAAGCAAGCCCTTGGTGATTAACCAAATTTTCATGCGTTGTTGCCAACGCTTGAAAAATTGCCCAGAAAATTTTTCAGACATACCGGTTAAATCCACCCTGTGCGAGACCGTAGCAATATATTCAGGTGTACCTTGTGAATTAGTGGCAGACATAGTATTATCATTTTCAGGGGAACCAAAAACATTCTCTAAACCAACAGTTTCATTGTTAACAACATTTTCCAAGTTTGCCATTTTTGGATTTTCCAAAACTCGAGAAATATTATCTTTCTTCAAGATTGTTAGATTAATTCGATATTAAAATTGCGAGTTTAACCAGATAAAAATCCCGAGTTTAAACAAATCACCAGACAAACCGCCAAATGCAAGAACAAAAATAAACAAACAATAATTAGAATAAATGAAATGAAATAATAGAAAGGATAAGAAAGCTTATCGCAGGATCGCCCGTTAAAACGGACTGGCCTTGAAGAAAGATAGCCCCCGTATCCCGATAGCTACTCGGACGGGTTTGGCTAGCTCGCTCCCAGGATAATCCTACTCCGTTTCAGACTTGTAGCTACCTCGACTGAAACCTCCGACCGTTGCCCAATTTGCCTTTGGAAAGTAGAGAAACTCAACGAAAGAAGCTATGGATTTTATGCTCTCAAAAGCAAAGGAAAAAAAAATCCTTGAAGACAAGATACGTGCAGATCACAGTAGGTGTATTAGCACTTAAAGAATGTAAAATGTTGATTTTGTTTCCCTGGAAGTTTACTTCGTACGTTAGTATATAAAGAAGCATGGAGTGGGTTCATATATATTTGAAATCAAAATAAATACAAACATATGAATGATCTGTAACGTTGGTTCCACGATCTAACCTTAAAGACCCTTAACCGAAAGTTGACCAGGCTTATTGCTTACCAATCGGACAATTCAAATTCAATTCTGAAAACGTCCGATACTAGCTTTAAGGCTATTCTTTATTATCATAAAGAGATAATAAAACTGGACAATTCAAATTCAATGTTGAAAAAGTCTTATAACAGCTTTAGAGCTACTGTTTATTATCTTATTAAGATAATGAAACATCTCAGAATTATTGTCCATAAATTAAATATCCTTCTAACTTGAAATATTTTCCCATACAATTTTAGATCAACCCGAACGGGCCTGAGAGTATGGAATAATATTTTAAGCGACCTTATATGATACTTGAATGATATTCCTTATCACATAGTATCTTTATTAAGAGGCCACCTATTTAAAATATAGGACAATAATTCGCCATTTTAATATTTCACTTTACAACTCTTACAACTATGGATTATATTCACCAAATGAAATAAATCCAAGTATGAAAGTTGTACTTTGATAATAAGCCACTTTCATTACATATGTTTATATTATACATATATCTGAGGACTCAAAATGAGTCCATTCAAAATAATTTATTTATTTCATCATATTTCCAACACATGACACCTTTCTACAGTCAAACACTTAAGTGATCATGACTCCTTTTAGTAATGACTAGTATAAGCCCGTGCGATGCACGGTGTATGAATGTTGTTTGAAAGTAAATATGGATGTTTTTAAATCTTAAGAGTGCATGTCAAAGTAAAAATGATACATGATATGACTATGTCAGAGTAAAATATGGTTTGTATACCCATAATTTGATTATGAGTATAAGAACTAAAGAACTATTTAATGTATGTAAAATTATGATATGCTTTTTGTTGTTGTTGACAATTTAGAGTTAAATGCAAATCATAACTCATAGAGTAGAATCAAGATTATATGTTATGAAAAAGTCTTTGAACGAAGACAATTTTCAAGGTCTCATCTCAAAATGAAGTATTAGAGATTGCTACTTTCGAAATAAAAAATGAAGTATGACATCAAAAGGTGTTAAGAAGAGGTTTAAAATGAAAATACATTTTACAAACTCATGGATTAATCACTGATGCAGTGTAGATTCAGCAAGAGTATGCAATTTATCTTCAATGTCAACCTACGATTTGACGTGTCTAATAAAAGTGCATCGAAATTAAAGTGCATCCATATCAACATTGAAAATACTTTCGAAGAAACCTTATCTGATGCACTTTTTGAAATTAAAGTGCATCGATCAGATAATGTTTATTTGAAAAGGGCATTAGATGGTGTTATTGTGCATCAGATTGACAGTCTGAACGATTGAAATTAATTCTTATTCTACCCGTTCGGGTAACTCATTTTAAGTTTACAGCTCGAATGTGAATAAATTTCTACCCGTACAATATATATGAATATCACTTCTACATTAATTGGCGGCATTTAAGCTTCCTAATAGTTTGTCATCCCAATCTGAACATCATTCCATCACTACGTGGCAGCATTTCACCATATATTTTTTTAATAAATATCGACCCGATTTTATTAAAACATAATTGTTTTACAATAATGCTTTAAAAAGAAAATACAAAGGAAATGAAAGGACTAATAAGGCCAATGAAGACAGCAAGCTTCCAAAAGGTGGGCCTTATTTGAGTAATCAGGCCCAGAGAATAATATTCGAACATAATATTGCCAGGAGGTCGAGAGTCGTTCCAAAAACATTTAGGGTTCGAGAGAGTTCGTTTCTAGGGTTATGGATTCGGCGATCGTTTCCATCTGCCTTTCCAACGATGGAGACTTTCATCCTGTGTCCCTAAAGAACGTCCCCCCTTGCTTATCATCAACATATGCTTTCCTCACTGCGGTTGGGAGTTGTTCAACATTGAAGGATTCCATTGAAGTCAATCGAAGCCTAAAATTAGCAAGATGGTGGGCGCAAGTGTTCGTCTCCCTCGTACTGTAAGAGAAGGACAGGTGGTGTGCTATCTTCAAGGCTTGGATCCTCTTAACCCCCGTGCTTACAAATCCAGGTATTTTCGCAAACCCTGCTATCATGTGTATGCTCTTTTCTGAATCGGACTGAGTTGTGAAATTTGTATAACCTCTGTTGACCAATTCTTGTGTCGATGTGAGGATTGCCTGCATCTCGGTGTGTAGTGCGCTTGTTGCTGTTAGAGGGAACGCCAAGGCTTCTCTGAGATTACCGGTAGCTTCTCGTAGTATGGCACCACCTGCACTTCTGTGAGGGAAGTAGGAGGCATCTGTGTTTAAGGTAAGGCAACATTTCACCATATATATGAATATTACCTACCCTTGATAAAATAGCCCTATATTTAAAAAAAATCCTATCATTGCATTTTTAAAAAAAAAATTAATTTTAGTTTTATATGCATTAATAAGTTTCAAATATTTGTGAGATCAATTCAAAATTCAGCCACATAGCCAATTTTGTGATTCCAGCCCACTAGTCCAAGACAAAAACTATAAAAGCAAGCCAATTTTCTTATTTCAGCCCAAAAGCCCAGGACCCAAAATATAAATTCATCCCCAACCCTCCTTTCCATCTTCTTCGCATATCTCTTGCGCATATCTCACTCCACCTCCAAGCCGATCATCACCATCCTCAGCCCGATCAGAAACAGAACCATCGACATACATCCCCACAGCTCGTCAACCTTAACCGGTAGGCGTTTTCAAACATACCGGTATCATCGGCACTTTATACGCTTTCCGGCCGCATCTTCCGATTATTATTTTGAAGAATCTTAGCCGCAATCATCAACTAATCTCGAGAGGAAAGTATTTTTTTTCGCGTAAATTGTGAAGTGCTTTAATTAATTTCTCTGAAATAAATGCATGCAAATTACAAATTGATTACTATGTCATCATTAGTATAAAATGCACAAAAATTTGTAGATCTCGTTTTAATTCAGTCTAACTTGAATAAAAATCCTTATTTTTTCAATCCGGACCATAAATCCACACTTTAAGTTGATACAAATATGCATTTTCAATGAAACCTATTTTAGTTTGTTTATTATTTCGGAATAGTAGCTGCATGTTTAAAATTAACCCAATCGGATATTAAAATTATTTCTTTTCTTATTTACAAATCTATATATACTTTGAAAACGTGATTTTGTTATTAACCGATGATAACCTTATGTTGTCAACTTAAGCTATACACATTAATCAACATATTCTATTAAATCGATTTCAAGTATTTTTTATTTTTAAAGTATAAAGTATAAACTCATGAGTTCAAATAAACAATTTTCTGGGATTGCTAAACTCTGGCTATTCTGCCTGTTTTTCTCTTATAACATAGTTTCCCGAAAATGAAAACAATGAGTTCCCGAGCATAACTAAAATCTGTCAAATCTAAACATGTTGTATAACTTCCAATCTTATAAATTAATCTCCTGAAATGAAACCAAGGAATTGTTGGTCTGGAAATCAGTAACAATAAGAATCTAAAAGAGAATCATAAATCATGAATGATCAGTACATATTTCAGTTAGTGTATGAGCAACTTTTTTTCAAGTAATCAAGTTGCAACCATTAAATAAAATCAAGTGCAATACAATGATTGTATAATGTATGATTGTTCGCAAAAATATAGATGGATTATTATTATATACTAGAACTATTGATTGAAAATTACATGAACTTTGAACTGCAGGTCTGCAACTGAAGTAATTGAAATTTTAGACACAACATACCTTATGCTAAGAATAATGTATAGCTACATATTACATAAACTTGATAGAAAAATAAAATAAAATAAAAATTACCATGAAAATGGATAGATAGGTTGCAGACTTCTCAATGATAGAGCAACTTCTGAGTCGGAAGCATAGCCATAGGAAGCATCCATCATTTATAGTAAAACCACTGCAGATAAGCGAATAAATTACAATGACTTTAGTTAGTTAAACAGTAATTGACCATAATGGACCGACACTATAGTTATTTAAACAAAACTAGGCAATTTTGATCTACACTTTTGACCAAAACCACGGTATTAACCGTTTGATCATATTAATTGTTTAGGACAATATAATTTTAAATTCTATTATGCATCTAAGCTTTGACCTAATTCTTGACAACCACAGAAAAGAGCTCCCACACCAACAGGAGCTTAGACAGGTTCTATTCAGATGGTGGCTGAAATCTAATCCTCAGACTTTGGAGGGAAGTCTCAGACAGATAATGCCCAGAGTTATTCTCTGGCACATTTGGAAGGGTCTCAATGAATCTCTTTGGGATAATTGAGCTTTTGAGGCTTTGATGACTCCCAAATCTGTTTCCAAATCAAAAAATACATACACAACTGGTGCTACATTAATCATGGAGCAAAATTTTCAGAGAGACAGACTTCTATAAGGATGGACTTATACCAGCGAAATTAAGAGCTCCTAAGTATAAAATCTTTATCTGGAAGAACACTCAACCATACCACTTGCGCTTGAACACTGACGCCGCATGAGATGAAGGTTTCTGTGCCGGTGGGGCAGTTCTTATGTTCAACTTATGAAGTTCCAAAGATCAATAATAACAGTCAACAAGGTGCACATTTTTTTAACAAACTAACATCCATTTTTGAAAACAAGGTGCTACCGAATCACATATTCTCTGGTATTGTTTTTCCTTCGTTTTTTGGTACCTACAAATAACTCAATTGATATATTTAATTTTATAATATACTACATACTACATCCGTCCCGAAATAATCGTCCTGGTTTGACCTTCACACAGATTAAGAAAGTGAAGTTGACTTCACACTGTAGCGACGCTGTTTGGTACTGTACTAACACGGTTTGGCACTGTAACGACACTGTTTGGCACTGTTTTGCACTGTTTGACACTGTTTTGTATAGATTTGTTTACCAAATAAGGAAAGGAGACAATTATTTCGGGATGGATCGAAAAAGAAAGCAGAACAATTATTTCGGGACGGGAGGAGTATATAATAACTAGATAGAATTCCCTAAATAAGACTAAAAGAAGTTGTAATTGCAAAAATAGGACTACTATGTTTTATTGGCTAAAAATAGGACTAAAAAGACCTAATCTTACAAAAATATCCTTAGTCATGTGTCGATGCAGGGGACTGTGTTGCGCAGATGGCGTTCCCCTATGATGCGCAGGTTTCCATGTGCCGTTGCGCAGGCTGCCTCCAAGAGGTCGACGCCTCCACCAAAGATCTGTCATCCAGTGAGTTTGTGCTCTCTGAGAATGATGAGAGATCTGCACAAACTCATTGGTGGAGGCGTCGACCTCTTGGAGGCAGCCTGCGCAACGGCACATGGAAACCTGCGCATCATAGGGGAACGCCATCTGCGCAACACAGTCCCCTGCATCGACACATGACTAAGGATATTTTTGTAAGATTAGGTCTTTTTGGTCAAAAGTGTAGATCAAAATTGCCTAGTTTTGTTTAAATAACTATAGTGTCGGTCCATTATGGTCAATTACTGTTTAACTAACTAAAGTCATTGTAATTTATTCGCTTATCTGCGGTGGTTTTACTATAAATGATGGATGCTTCCTATGGCTATGCTTCCGACTCAGAAGTTGCTCTATCATTGAGAAGTCTGCAACCTATCTATCCATTTTCATGGTAATTTTTATTTTATTTTATTTTTCTATCAAGTTTATGTAATATGTAGCTATACATTATTCTTAGCATAAGGTATGTTGTGTCTAAAATTTCAATTACTTCAGTTGCAGACCTGCAGTTCAAAGTTCATGTAATTTTCAATCAATAGTTCTAGTATATAATAATAATCCATCTATATTTTTGCGAACAATCATACATTATACAATCATTGTATTGCACTTGATTTTATTTAATGGTTGCAACTTGATTACTTGAAAAAAAGTTGCTCATACACTAACTGAAATATGTACTGATCATTCATGATTTATGATTCTCTTTTAGATTCTTATTGTTACTGATCATGATTCATACCCCTGGTTTTGACTCTTGAGCGCAATTTCTTTGTTTTTTTTCAGCATAACTTCTTGAAGTGGACAACATAAGTATGATGTGCAGCAACTTTGCTTATAGATTTCCTTACCAACTTGCATCACTGACACAAAACCAGGTGATGCCTAGAATATTCATATCTTATTTTCTTTTTATTCTTAGTGGTACTGTCAGTGTTATCCTTTTGCATGCAATATTTTAGATTTCAAGCGATAGAGAGACTGGCTCCGTGCCAATTCAGTTCTCGATATACCATTCTCCAGGGAGGAAGGCTGTGAAGTATGCTACAGTGTCAGCTGAAAAGGCAAGCTATCTTTTTTTGTCAAGTAAACTGCAGTTCTTAATGATCCATGCTCAGCCATCTTTTTTGTTTCTTTATTCTCTTTTTATTACAGCTCTTTTATCATCATTTTAGAAATTTCTATTTCAATATGTAGTTAACCAGTGCCCCCCCTGCTTACTTATCCCTCAGTCGAAGTGAACGATCTCTGACTAAATTCAATACTAGCGAGAAGTGAGTTTCATCAGTTCAAAAATCTTTTATTTGAGACAATATTTTAATCCTTTTTATTTCAGGGCACACATGACCTGTTTAATTTTCACCAGTATTGATTAATTTTCACCGAATGAATTTGGTAAATGGGAAATGCAGGAATGTACTTCAGAAAAGGGGAAAGAAAGAACACCATCTTTGGAAGAAAAGAGATTCAACTGGGTCAGGGCAGAAGGCACTCAACCTTGTTAGGATTGTATGTAAAATACTACCAACTAATGCCAATAACAGATCTGTTTCATTTCCATGTCATGGATTTGGGAAAGTCAATGAACATGGAACTGTTAGGTGGAGGCGTGGAGCACAGATTTGCCTCCCTGGGGAAAAGTTAAACGATATGAAGTGATTGTTTGAAAATTCTACACAATATCTGTACAGTTGGAAGTGTCTAGGGAGGACAGTTAGAAGTGGACTCATTGAACTATTGAAGCTTGTCGGCCTAGAAATGTTCTCTTCGCCTGAAAATATGCAACCTGATATGACTTTTTAAGATCTGATCTGAATTTCTTCTTGTGTGAAAGTTTCAAGTCTGGTCTGAATTTTTCTGGCCTGGTTTGGTCAGAATGTCTCTGATCCAATTTGATCTTCTTGTCTGAAACATAACATGTAGTCTTATTTGACCTGAATCGTCATTTCTGATTTCAATCTTATTGGTCTGGTCTAGGGTGAAACTGAGACAAGTTGAGCTCAAACTATGGTGTGCTCGAGATAAAAAATGTACTGGTTTGAGTTTGAGGGCGAGCGGGCAAAGTAGTTTCGGCTTGAGCTCGGCTCTAGTTAGGCTAATTTATTTTCATAATTATTGGAATCATATTTATATTCCATCATTTGCAATGGAGCTAAAGATTCATTATTTTTTGGCTTGAGATTATGATGGAATAAAGCAAAATGGCTCACTAAACTGTTTGCGCTTCTTTGTTATGAAGCAACAGTCAGTCCATTCAATTTTGGACGGGATTTTCACTATGGGTCATCTGGAAACAGTCTCTCTGTGCTTTAGTACACTCTGTGCTTTAGTACAAGGGTAAGACTACGTACATCCGACCCCCCTTACCCCACCATAGGTGGGAGCCTTTGCGGCACTGGGGTAAATGAAAATGATGAAATGATTGGAATCATATTTATATATAATTACATATAAACAAATACGTGTATATATATGTTCATATGTACATGTGTATGTGTGTGTCACGGCTCGCGAGTCACGAGCCAAATAGAATTGTGCTCGAGCTTGGTTCAATTGCTTAACAAGTTGGTTCGTGTTCGGCTCAAGTTCGGTCCAAGTTCGAATTTGAATGGACTCAAATCGAATTTTGACCCAGCAGCTCACGAGTAGCTTGGAAGCGGCTTGATTTGTTTCCATCCATTGTATGGTCTGAATGTTAACAATTAGTAATAAGCAAAAAAAAAAGAATGGTGAATAGAAAACCACTCAAGTCCTCCGCATTTCATCATTTGCAAAGTATTCACATTACAGGCAAACTGTTAACTTGGTATTTCTATTAACTTCAGCCTTTGAATTTGCAGATTTCAGGACTTCCGAATGAGAAGAATGTTGTTTATGGTGCACTGGATAGGTGGGTAGCGTGGGAAACTGAGTTTCCAGTGATTGCAGCAGCCAAGGCCTTAAGAATACTTAGGAAGCGAAGACAGTGGACACAACTAATTCAGGTATCAGATCTTCACTGGGAACTTGTGATTGGTTCATGAATGAAGTTTGATACTCCCTCCGGTCCCCATTATATTAAGACACCTTTCAAATGGAGTTAATGGTCCTTTTTATAAGAAAATTCTTATTTGTGTGAAATTTTCATTGTTGTTTTCATCGTTTCTCCCTAATAAAGAATTAAAGATTGTGTTCATGTTTTTTTAGGGAGAATTTGACTTAGCACCCCACTTTTTGGTTGATATTGGACTTTGCACCCCATTTTAAAAAAACTTTGATTTTGCACCCCATTTCACTTCAAAATCCTTTGACTTTGCACCCCATTTAGAAATTTTCCTTCAAATGTTATATGATAGGGTGCAAAGTCAAAGGTTTTTTAAGATGGGGTGCAAAGTCCAATATCACTCAAAAAGTGGTGTCCAAAGTCAAATTCTCCCTTTTTTTAGTACCCGTTTACGAGGAATTGTACAAGAAGGAAACCTTGGGATATCATAATAGTTTTAAGAGCACAAGAAGGTTAAACCCTTCTCATTGTTTGTACAATTTGTTCAATTGTGCCTTAGAATAAGGTTTGATATTTCAACCTGGTTTTAAGTACTTCTATTAGTATTCCATGAATAACTGTAGGCTTTGTTATAAGGATTTTCTTTGACACCTTGGCCTTGATGATGTTTAAAAAAAAATCTGAGAAGTATCGTCTCACTAATCATATGAGTACTAATTTAAATGATTAGGTGGCGAAGTGGATGTTGGGCAAAGGTCAAGGAGCAACTATGGGCACTTATGGTTTGCTTTTACTGGCATTTGATATGGACCACAGAGCAGACGAGGCAGTGATGCTATGGAATATGATCCTTCACACACACACCCGCTCTATCTCAAAGTGGCTTTTTTCTAGAATCATTTCTTTGTACGATCACCATAATATGCCAGATAAAATCATAGAAGTAAGAAACTAAACTTGTTTGCTTGTGGTTTTCCTACTCCCTCCAATCTTTAATAAATGTCGCTTTAGGGAAAAACTTTAATTGCTCATTTTCCACCTTTAGTTTTCTACATCCATGAGACCATAAACTATCCATAGCACTTTATAGCATTCTTTGTGGTATTCTAGTCATATTATACTATACTTTCCTTCAGGAAATTACTACCTCAATCCTGTTTTGTAAGATACTTTCCTTTTTCATTTATTCAAAAAATATTAACACTTTTCTAAATCAAACTCCACTAACCTTGTACTTGTCCACTTTTTACCTTTTCTATCATATCACCTTTTGTTTTTTGTGGACGCATCCTACTTTTCTTACATTTTAGAGGTTTTAATTGTAAAACAACCACTCTTTCCTTTATTTTTCTAGTGACCCTTAGAGCTTGATAATTCGCAGCTTGATACTTATTTGCCAGGACACTTTTTGAAAATGTACATGATTGAAAAACTTCAGGTTTTTGCAGACATGGAAGAGTTATCTGTAACTCCTGATGAAGATACTGTAAAAAGAATTGCTAGAGCTTTTCAGACACTTGGGCTTCCAGGAAAGCAGGAGATGGTTCTGAAAAGGTATAGGAAGGAATGGAAGTATATTCATTTCAAGGGTGAACGTGTTAGGGTAAAACAAGACCCATGAGATGAAGAAAGCCTGCAACTCCTGACATCATCTTTCTTGAGTTTAAAGACTTCTGGAATGGTCAGATGTAGATAATGTTGAACTTGTAATCTTTTTAGAATGAGAATCAGAGAGCTCTAAAAAAGCCTAACAGGAGTGATTTTCTTATACTCTCTCTCTGTCTGAGAACAAAAGTGCTCATGCTTGAATAATGTACTAATGTACAAGCATCACATTTTAGGTTTATTCAACTAAATTAAGGTACAAGCTATTTCAAGTTATGAATGACAAGGAGGAAGCTTGAAGTGGGATCTCCTCAATAACTACCAGGAATGCGGCCAGAAAGAAAGACAACCAAGGGTTCCTTACTGACTTCTCTTCCGGAGTCCAAATGAATTGTTTAATTTGGAACGTTAGGGGTCTAGAATCCCCTCCAGCTCTAGACTTAATTCCCTAATTAAACAATGGAGAATTATGTTTTTTGTTGCTATTGAGCCTATAATGGACAGGTCTAAAGCAAATCACTATACAGCTCAGATTGGTCTTAATGAAGTCATTACTTCTGAAGTAAATAAAATTTGGATCTTTTGGGATCCTACAAAGTATATCTGATAGGGATAACGATTCACGAGCACAAGTTTAACAAATCAATAAAAACTGTAATGAAGAAGATCAACGATGTTTATTGAATGGGAAGAGAATACAGGTCGTATACAAGCCTTGGGACTGTTCAAGAAGCCCACTCTCCAAGCCAAAAGCCAACTGAATAACAACCTACCTTATTTAGCTACTCCCACATCTATTTATAGTTAATACTCCTGTAAGGATAAACTACTAATATAGCCCATAACCCTTTCCTTCTATTAATATTTCAGGCCCACTTATTATTATCTATGATAATAGACCCACTTATTATCTATTCCTAACAATACTCCCCTCCTCGACAACCACCTTGTCCTCAAGGTGGGTGATAGGGAATAGCCATGATCTTCAACTTCCACCTCATCCTTGCACCTCTTCCCTCCCAGTACTTCACCGATTTCTGGGCTCTTAGCTTCTGTGCTTGGATCTTCACCATTACTTCCTTCACCTTTGGCTTTTCACTCCATCCAAGTGATTCCTGAATCTTGTTGTTGTCATTACTTTGGAGGATTATTCCTTCAGTCTGCTCTTACACTTCTAAAGCCTCAGAGTTGGTAAAAGAATCTGCCCTGAAAGTAGCTCGTAGTCTCTCAAAAATCCTATTCACAGTGTGGTGGATGATTGATGAATTTAAGTGCTGCATGTGTGGCCAAACAACTCTAGAGTCTGTATCAATTAAAAACTATGATAATGCTTGATAAGCATTTAATTTTTCTGGAGGAAACACATCCACGCTGATTACCTTAGCTGCTGCATCTACAATTTGCTCATCAACCCCTGTTGCCATGTCTTCTACAAGAATTTTCTCTAATTCTTCTCCTTCTTTCATCTCGATTGCCCTTCCTTCGAAAAACCCAAAATAACCATCTCCAGTGTCCTGCAAGATCTGAATCATGGTTTTCAGTGATATCTTACTGGAATTCAAGTGTGGATCCCCTTGAATCTGCTCAACTACTCCCCGAACCTTCCATTTTATACTTTGTTTCTGAAAGTTTATTTCCACATCACCCAAAGTAGTCAGCCACTCCATCCCAAGCACCAAGTCTGTATCTCCCAGATCCAAAACATAAAAGTGTTGATTTAATTTAGTACCTTGTAAATCTAGTGTTAGATCCTCACATCTGCCATTTTTGCTAATCTTCTCTCCATTACCAATTTGAACTCTGTATCCAGTAATGGTGTGTATGCTTAGTCCCAATTGATCCACCGACCTCTGTGATATAAAATTGTGGGTAGCCCCACTATCAATGAGTACTTCAACCTCTGCCCTCCCTGCAGCCCATTCTAAACTCCCTATTACCTTGAAAGTCCTTATAGAAGGTATCCATTCCTTACTCATAAGAGACAGTTGCATGGACTTGGATTCCATGACAACTTCTTCTTCTTCTGAACTTCCTCCATTTCCTTCCTCACATTCTGCTTCTTTTTCAGAATCCTCCACCAAGATCAGTTTGTAATTCCTCAATTTGCATGTATGCTCCTTACTCCATTTTTCACTACATTTGAAACATAGGCCTTTTTTGCTCCTTTCCTGATATTCCTCCTGAGACAGCTGAGGACCCACCCTTTTGATTCCTCAGGGTTGAATCTCTGTAACTCTGACCCCCTTATGATTCAAACAAGGCTGGTTATTCTTACTATCTGCCCCATTCTTCTCACTATTATGAGTTCCAGTATTGCCAAATTTAGACTTGTACCCCTCTGTGCATATTTATGATTTTACTGCTGCAGTTCCCTTCTCTTTCCAAGGTGATCGGTCTTCCTCTTTTCTCTTCAGATATATAGCTTCATTCCTACTTTCAATTAATAAAACTCTGTCCATAATTTCACTCAAGGATATTGAATGATGTAGCTTAAGTTCAGCTTTTATCTCATCCTTCAAACCATTAACGAAAATTCCCTTAAGGATCTCCATATCCACATTGATTTGAGGAGCTATCACCATTTCAAACTTATCTCTAAACTCCTGAACAGTTCCAGTTTGCTTCAAGCTAAGCATGGGTCCATAAGGATTCTGAATCAAATCTGACTGAAATCTACGTATAACAGAAGCCTTCAAATTCTCCCAATTTTTCCTTTCAGCCTGATGTTCCCACCAAATGAACCAATTCACAGCCCTTCCTTCCATTGCAACTAGTGCAGCTTCCACATGTTCTTCTTCATTAATTTGATTCAAACGAAAGTACATTTCCATCCTTACAATCCAGTTATACGCACCTTCCCCATTAAATACAGGTAAATCAATTTTTCTCCCTGTATATACTGGAAATTTATGACTATCCTCAGTCCTGTGATTTTGGATGTAAGAGTAGATTAGATTACCACATGAAGTCGTCGGACTATTAGATCTTCGTATGTGTGGTCGTCCTTGCGATCGCGATCTCTCCCTTGATCACAATTGTTCATTCATAGCTGCCATCGATGCCACCATATTCGTCGTCAAATTTTCCAGAGCAATACGCTGATTCTCCACCACTGCGCGTAAACCTTCTTGTACCTCCAACCGAGTCCCTCGCATCTCCATCATATTCCTTTCCACTGTATCTATGCGAGGTTCCATGTTTGCTCTGATCCTTACCATCCACCACCGATCGTAAGTATTGCGGAAGTCACAGAACACTTCCGATCACCAGGATCGCAGAACTCGCTCTGATACCAATGATAGGGGATAATGATTCACGAGCGCACGTTTAACAAATCAATAAAAACTGTAATGAAGAAGATGAACTATGTTTATTGAATGGGAAGAGAATACAGGTCGTATACAAGCCTTGGGACTGTTAGAGAAGCCCACTCTCCAAGCCAAAAGCCAAATGAATAACAACCTACCTTATTTAGCTACTCCCACATCTATTTATAGTTAATACTCCCGTAAGGATAAACTACTAATATAGCCCATAACCCTTTTCCTGCTATTAATATTTCAGACCCACTTATTATTATCTATGATAATAGGCCCACTTATTATCTATTCCTAACAATATCTTTCTGATTTTATCTGGCAAGATCAGTTTGTTCATTTTCAGGTGCAAAAGGATAATTTCATAGGCTGGTTTACTGCTATATATGGAAGCCATACTTACATTGAAAGAAGAGCCTTGTGGACTGCTCTGACTGATTTTTCTAAGAGTATTAAGGAGCCTTAAAATGATGCATCGCTAAAAGCTGATAGTTTCAATAATGATTAGCATTTTTTGAATGAGCAATTTCGTTTAGAGAACAGTTTTGGAGGATTGAGTTTATTATTCATCAAAATTTGTTTTCTCATATTTGAAAAAGTGGGTTTGTATTCTACATTGTTATTTTCAACAATTTTATCTGGTGTATAGTTCATTTCCTTTGAATTCAAAATTTTCTTGGAGAATAATCCAAATCATTGTTGCAACCTGTTATAGTTGTGACTTGTGATTCATTCGACATTGTAAGCGGAAGTAAATGTCAAATTTACTTTACAACCAAGTTGTTCAAAAGTTATAATAGTGAAAGTAAATGATTGATTTTCATTTGAAACCTTGTGGTAACTTTCTTAAAGTACGACTTATATTGAAAAACTAAATTCTAAAACATGTTATTTTTTGACTGGAAGATATGAATTTAAAATTTGTTTAAGTAGGTTATGTGATTGTTACACACTACAAAACAGTTACGTATTGGATGTTTGGGTAATAGCTTTTTTATCCAAAACACCATTTTTTCTAATAGCAAACGCTGCAATTTGCAGCGTTTTGCCTGCCAACTGACGAAATACAATCACACCCAAATAATGTTTAATGGGTGAAATTTGCACCTTTTCTCGTGTATGAAATATATTTTCTATAAATACTTTAAATAATGCAAGGGGTGAATAAAGTCCATGACCACTAACATCATCATTGTTGAGTTGTTCTAATGAGAAGTATACTACCAACATAGATACTATACCAATGACACGGCAATGGGACTTCTTACAACATGGACCCCATCACTCCAAGTAAGCCATCCAAACCTATACTCCTCTTTCACCATGTTCATCTTCATATCATGAAGTGCTTTAACAATTACAGTAAATCTTTTCGTCTCACCAGTGCGGTTGAAATACAAGACGGGAGGAGAGATCTTAATGGAAAATCCCAACGGAGGCGTAATGCTAGCAGAGTAAAGACTTGCACCACTGCCAACGTTTGTGACGACTCTCTTGACAAGCACGGTTCCGTTGAGTTTTGGTAGTGCGATGGAGGGATAGTTGAGGCTGGAAGGTGATGGGGGATGTTTGGGACACTTTGAGGAGGGGTTGATGCCCTTAACTCCAATAGCGCATAGGAAGAGAAGATAATCGGAGTAAGAGGCGTTATATATTAACCCGGGATCTGCTGCTTTCGCTGGTCTGAAATGTCCTGCCCCGAATTGGAATGGATCTGCCGGGAGGCCACTTGAATCTGTTATTTGCTTCCCCATGTTGTTTTTCAATCCAGCTGCACTCATGTATAAATAATTATTGATAGAAAACCATGTTTTATAGGACCTAATTGGCACAAACAGATTCTTAAGAAGTTAGTTTGGAGCTTGGACTGAAATGCTTAAGATTTGAAGTTATAACTAGTCTTATATTTTTTTTCTTCACAAAACTAGATGAGACTAAATGTGATATTTGAAGACTAGAAAGTAGAAACCCAAGAGAGGATCTAAAACATTCATATCAATATATCATACAAGATGACATCAAAAGAATTAGACCACACCAGAATATCATTCCGTGCAAAATGCAAATCAAACCATACTTTCTTTTATTTGTAAGAAGAGATCTTTAACCCGTTAAAACTCTTCTCCCCAAATTCCTCTGTTGAGACAGAACCTAAAAGCTGAAGTTATGTTTACTTAACAGTTATATGTTACTAAATCCTAGTAGACAACTAACATAGAATACTATAAAAATATGCATGGCAGTTCATGTGTGTGTTAGAAGAAGAAACCTGAAGTGATGAGAGCTGATCTGATTGCAGCACTACTCCAATGAGGATGAATGGCCTTGAGAAGTGCAGCAGCACCGCTCACATGGGGGCATGACATTGAAGTTCCCGATTCGATATTATACTTGACCACTCTATGATCAATGCCAAGCTTCGTTGGTGACGATTCCTCACTCCATGCTGCCAATATGTTCAGTCCTGGTGCCGTTATATCCGGCTACATTCATAAAACAAAATACATTTCAGCGCAAAATAACAGTTTTTGTAAAATTACAAGAGTGATAACGGGCATATACAAAAGTTACAGGACTATATTCGCGAAACTCTCTGCTATTAAAACCAATGCTGCAATGCATATGAATTCTGCAATGATATATTGGAATATTACCTTGAGGATGCTAGGTGCAATACTACTCGGTCCTCTGCTGGTGAAGGCCGCCATGGAGGGGGCAGGCTTAGTGTGCAATACTGTCTGGGCAGGAAAGATATAGGCTTTCGGCTCCTTCGTGGATTGTACATACTTCAGAATCTTAAGCCCGTCTTTGTATCCCACTGCGGTTGCGGGAAGGAAATGAGCATCGGTTGCGATTTCGGCTCCGTTTGCTTTGCTGTTTGCGAGTACGTATCCAACTCCACCTGCCCTTTTCACTTCCCCACCCTTTCCCACCCTTGTTCCATTCCCTCTCAAGCACACCACAATGTTTCCTTTTGTCTTTTCAGGGGATAAAGAATTCGGCATGCATTGCCTGCAAACACATCAAATATAGACTTTGAGGTACTAAGCTAGTGTACTATAATTACTACTTCCATCGTTGTGAGATAGAGAACAATGTTTCTAACACTAAAACACAATATTTTGCTTGGTTTTTCATGATTATATTTTTCTTTTCATGTTTATTCTACGAATAAGTAGCATAATGTGTCTTCATTTGGGATAAAGATGATGGACTTGAATAGCACTGTGTCTGGACATATCACTTTTATCGTTTTACGATAAATATGTCGAACTTAGACCATTTTTATTTAATGATACATCCATCATCCTAAAACTATTGTCATTGACAAGATACTCGACATTATTTAAAATAAGAAAGAAAGATATTATGAACCATTTATTGTCTTCTTAAAAATGATCTACTGTGTGGACCGGAAAGAAAACAAGAATATAATATTGGAACACAGAAAGTATGTTTCCGTAAAAAAAGTAATGCGAGTATAAGAGAGTAGATTTAACATGAAACTCTAAAGAAATTATTCTAAATAGTACTCCGTACTACAATAGGTGATTTACTCTTTAAATGAGTGCTATATATATCTCCCCTTTAATTAAGACTAACTACTCTATTGTCTTTCTGAAAAGTCCCGCCATATTGTGGCACTAACACCGTCATATTAATACTGATAATATCCTTATATGATGGTATGATATTACAAGCCATTTGGTAATACCAAAATCAGCTTAATCAGCTGATTCTGCTAAAATTCATGAAGTTATTGCTGAAGTGATTGACTTGACTAATGCCCTTGATTTATGAAAAAATATATTTACATATAATTTATAAATGAAATGAAGAAAAAAATATATGAAAATATAGTTATAATGATCTTCTACAGTAATTTCAGTCAATACAGTCAGACAAGTAACTCTAACTTTATTTTTTTTTATTATTACACAATTTCGAAATCAAAAGTTTTCGTGTTTTGATAAAAGTTGGTTGAGAAGCTGAAAAACAGGATTACTAATGATGCTCTAAGATAATCGTACTTTACTTGTATTAAGAGTATTAAAATGTTACACAACTATTTAGGGAAAACATTGCTATTAAATTACTTCTATTTTAGGAAATTTCCAAAATTCTATTACTTCAACATTACAAATCATTTTGAGTAAAACAATATTATTGGTTAGAATTGAAAATATCTGACCACAAGACTCATACTTCGTATATGGTTGAAGTATTGAAGTGGATGGAACTAGTATATCTGTGTATATAGATGGATTTGATCAAGAAATACTTGGTAGTAGTTTATGTACTTACCCTACAAGGTCTTTTGATACATTAGACATGACCACTTGGCCTGCATAAACCAAAGGGTACATTTTGTTTTCCAGCTTGTAAGGTGTGACAGTTTGTCCCTGATTTTGTTTCAAACACAGAAATAACATTCAACAAAAACATTGTACATTGATAATATATAGAGTAATTCACAATTCAAATGTTCATAAACTAAACTTACCATGAATTTCTTTCCGTTCCCCAGCAAAAGGGGAGCCACGAACATGCGGTCTAGGCTGCTGGCACCAACTGTGATGATCCACGGAGCCGTATTCGACAGCGTAGCCGGACTAGGACCCGAATTCCCAGCGCTACAAGATACAACAATGTTCCTTTTTATTGCATGGAGGGCACCGATCGCAATGGAGTCTTGATTGTACGGCATCGGCCGGGTCATTCCGATCGAGATACTAATTACATCCACGCCGTCCCTTATTGCATCATCCATGGCTGCAAGCATGTCTTCGTCAAAGCATGTATTGCCCTCCTCTTTCCCGTGCCCCGGGACAGCCCAACAAACTTTGTACATGGCGAGGAGCGCTAGCGGTGCACCTCCTGACGCCGTCCCGGGGGCGAAACCGCCGATGGCAGAGATGTTTTCCACTCGACGGCCGGCTGCTGTTGAGGATGTGTGTGTCCCGTGGCCATCCATGTCTCGGGGAGACTTGTAGTCAAGTGTTCTATTTAGAGGACCATAGTACTTTTCATATCCTTTGATGTAATATTTGGCGCCAATTAGTTTCCTGGGGATGATAACAGTTCTTGGTTATACTACCTATTTCATAAGTATCACTTTCCTTTTGTTGCAAATATGTCACAAGTTAACTTGCTCTTTTTGAACATTTTTTTTGTTTTCTTAATAAAAAAAGTATTGAAGTAGAGAACACATAAAAAGTTGACAAATAAATTAAAACTAATTATGTTCTCTGCCCAAGAACAAACTAGTCCGATCCTCACAAAAAATAAAAGACAAGTTTTAAAGTGTGAATATTCTCATTTCAAAAAAAGAATCAATCCATATTCGAGGAAATTTTGTTTTGTTTCCTTCTTAGTATGAGGGCAAGAATAACTCAAATGTATACATTGGGAGAGGAATATTCATGAAGTGATACAATGAGAGATGGTGGATAAAGACTAATGAACCTTCTCTTGAATTTAAATGAAGTTTACAACAACCAAGTACTAACACCTACTTAATTAATTAAGACCATCCGGGCCCTTTTACATAGAGACTAGGCCTTACCAGACCAGACCAAACAAGATCATACCAGACCAATAAATTTCGGTACAAAAGAAAACATCCTAAAATTGTTTAAAATTGGCACACATGTATAGTTTTTAATCCGGAAGTGATCGATGGATTGTTTTTAACATTTCATGTTTAACTTTAATTTTGGAGGGGGAAATCATCACCGGCCTCCCTTGAGGTTTCACACATTATCACCTATACCCCTGCACTATTAAAAATATATTCTTACCCCCCTCCCTATCCTTCATGAGAGTTTAATACTCCTAATCGCGTTTAGCGAAATTATAGATTTATTCTCGTAAATTTACTCACTTGCCGATATGATCCAGTAACACATAAACTTATTTGCATTACGATTTTTTCACCAGAAAGTACATTGTGTGATGAAAATTTGGCGACGTCGTCTTTTTTAGTATGTTTTTTTTTTTGTCAAAATGTGTGTTTTCCGGTGAAGTAGTCCTTAATATGGACATATTTATTAGTTATAGAGCTACATCTACTATATGAGATTAAAATTTGTACGACTATTAGCAGACTGTAAAAAATACGAGCATAAAACAACAGATTTTATTACTTTAGAAGTTCAAAAATATCCGTCCATGAGATAGTAGAAATTTTGGTGGAATATACATCTCACATTAGAGCTTTTCTTTCCCACGTGAAAAAAGATTATTAACTTCATCAGTTTTCTTAAAATCATCAACTAATATATTTTAGATATATTAAAACTATTTTTAAAGTTTGAATGAACATTATTCAGAATTACAGTTTAGCTAAACAATTGGAATATTATTTTATACCTAAAACAAATGTTGGTGAATGATCTTTAGGACAATATTGTACCTATTTTAATATTGTATGGCAAATACTTAATTTCAAGGTCGAAATCATTCAAGTAAGTATTTCCCATTAAACTTTAATAGGCACAATATTCTCCTGAAAATCATTCATCAACATCTGTTTTAGGTAAAAAAATAATATTCTAAAAGTTTAGCTAAGCTTTAATTATAAATAATTTTCATTCAAATTTTTAAAATATTTTTATTTTTATTATATCTAAAAATATATATGTTAGTGGGTGATTTTAAGAAGACTGTTAAAGCTAATAATCTTTTTTCACAGGAGGAAAAAAATTGATGTGAGATGTATATTTCACCAATATTTCTGCAATCTCACAGATATTTTTGGACTTTTAAATGTAATACATATTTGTTGTTTAAAATTCGTACATTTCAATGTATCCGTTGTTAGTTCTATAAATTAACTCTCATGTAGATGTACTTGTGCAACTAATGAATATGTTTATATTAAGGATTATTTCATCAGAAATTACACATTTCCGCAAAAGCACATACTAGAAAAGATGTTAAATTTTTTGTCAAAAAGTGTACCTTCCTGTGGAAAGATTCTTAATGCAAATAAATTTATTTGTTACCAAATCAGATATGCAAGTGGGTAAATTTACGAGAATAAATCTGTAATTTTGCTAAACATGATTAAGAGTTGTATAAACTCTCATTAAAGGATAATGAGGGGGGTAAACACATATTTTTAATAGTGCAGAGATCTAAGTGATGATATGTGAAACCTCAAATGAGGTGATCAGTGATAATTTCCCGTTTTGGAGGAGAATAGCTACAGCCAGTCTCACGTTAATTGTGAGTATGCGTTGAAAATCGGAAGTTTGTAAATAATCTTCAAATAATCTATATTTAAAATTTGATACCATATTTTTCATCAAATATTATTTTTAAATAATCGCGACATCTTGATCTAAAAAAATATCACCCACATATCAAAGTAATTTTATATTAAATAAACCCATGGATGAGATGGTTTTAGTATACACATCGTTTATCCATGAAGAATTCAATTTCAACAACCATGAACAGTGGCGGACCCAGAAACTCAGAATCACGGGGTCCCTACTGTAATGTAACTCTAATTAATAAAAAGAAGAAGTAAAATATTAAAATAGCATAATGTTTCATAGTTAGCGTATACACCAATTTTAAAGATATTCCAAAATTTTAAAGAAATTTCTACTATCAACTAGAGCCCGTTTGGTAACACTGAAATCGGCTGAATCGATTGATTCTACTGAAATTTATGAAGTTCTAACCGAAGTGGCTGTATTGGCTGTTTTTGCAGATTATGAAAAATTATATTTAAAATATATTATATTAATAAAATAAAGAAGAAATGATATGAAAAAATAGATAAAATGGTCAACTACAACAACTTCAGTCAATACAGCCTGAAAAGTAAATTCAACCTTATTTTTCTTATTATTACATAATTTAGCACACAAAATCAAAAGTTACATGTTTGGTTAAAAAGTTGGTTGATAAGCCGAAAAACATAGTCACTAAACAGACACTGAAATTTTATAAAGTTGATGTCCTCTATCAACTAAAAATAATGGGCATGCATATGAGAAATCAAATTTAAAAAGTCTACATTTGAAAATTTTGATCCAATTACTTCGCAATATTTTATTTGTTTTTTTATTTAAAATATATTCATTAGCTTTGTTTCTATTTTAATTTAATACAATTACCAATTTATTTGTTTAACTTTAAGGACTTTAATTTGTTATTGGACCGATTTTAGTCTTAGATCAAACCTCATCAAGCCAAATTATGCGATTATGGCTCAAACGACTGAATCTGCTATATTAGGAAAGAATGATATTTAAATTATATGTTATAAGATATGAAAAAGTCATATGAAAAAGCGGCCAAAATGATGCTCTTACGGTAACTTCAGTCATCTCGCCGAAAGAATGTTTTTAGCTTGCTTATTTTAATTATTACAAATTTAGTGTGTGAATTCAAGAATTACGTGTTTCATGACCAAATTAGTTTATAAAACAGATAAGTTGAAATTCGGGGATACATATTGGCTTTGTAGTAGTATTTGTTATGAAAAAAATTGGGCAATAGGATAACAATAGGTACGCACGTACAAAAAGTGGCCATAATTTTATTTTCCAAAAAGTGGACGCCTGGGAGAATTGATCGTTCGACCTCTGCACGTACAAAGCCTTGGAATTGGGCCTCCTACCATTGCTCTAGCTCCGTATTTGTGTTCTATGCTAGTTTTGATTGTATAAATACTTATTCCTTAATTATATATACAATATATACAAATATATATATAGGTATTTTTTTGGAGGTCCATGGGGTCCCGGGACCCCCTGGGACCATTAGTGGGTCCGCCACTGACCATGAAGCTTCCTCCATGTGCAAGCAACAACCATGAAGCTTCATCCATGTGTAAGAATGACAAATGGAGCTTCCTCAAAGTTTCCTCATGCTTAATCCCACCTTCCTCCCACCTTCATAGTACCTAGTTTTGGTGCTATAAATAGAGAGCTTGGAGAGTCTTTCTATCATCAAGTAAATTAGAATAGATCATCATAGCACAACCAAGAAGAGTTGTGAATATCCTTGAGAGATATGTGAGGTGTTGTTTTGAGAGTTTTTTAATTAGAGCTTGTATGTCTCTTCTTTCTATTCTTGAAAGTAATAGAAGTGTTTTTCTCTCATATTAGCACGATCCTGTTATTCCCAACAAGTGGTATCAGAGCCTGGCTGAGCTTTTGGTATTTTTTCCCCAGAATTTTCGGATAAAATTCTACTGTCTGAAAATTCGTGTTTTTCAGTTTTGCTCGGAATTGCAATCTGAATACACCGTTAGATTCGTCTCGTCGAGACGAGAAAAACTGGTATTTTTGGTAATTTTTAGGCCACCGAAAGCCACCACACGCGCCGCCTACGCGCCGGTGGTGAGGAGCTCGCTGACGTCAACCCTGACGTCATTCTGCACGCAGGCCAGAGGTTGAAGACAGCTGACGTCATTTCTGACGTCAACAGCCAGTCAGAGCTGTGTCAGCGACACATCAGCGCCACGAGTGCACATCCGCCACATCATCAGCTCACTGCCATCTTCCACCAGTGCCCAGTCAGCTGCCACGTCACCGCCCAGTTTGCGCCACGTCATCTGCCACGTCACCGGTCAGTTTTTAAATTTTGAAAAATTGCAGTTAGGTCCCTCAATTTTTGGAAAATTATAATTTCCACCTATAATTTTTCGAAAATTGTATTTTGACCCCGAAAGTGTCTACCCACCATTTTTGGCCGTTCCGGACGCAACGGTGCTTCCCGTTTTTCAAAATTCTGCTCCGATTTTTCTCAAACAGAATATTAAAATTATTTAAAAGGTGAAAATGACCTTTGACGAGTCAACTTCATCTTCCGGAGCTATGATTATGCTCACGGCTACCAACTACACGCTATGGAAACCTCGGATGGAAGATTTCCTTAGCTGTAAAGACCTTTTTGATCCAATAGAGATGAAAGGTATTAATCCTGACCCACCCAAATCAATAGAGTGGAAGAAAATAAATAGAAAAACTATTGGTCAAATCCGTCAATGGATTGATCATAGTGTCTTCCACCACGTTGCACAAGAAACCGACGCTTATGCCCT